TTCTGTCTCTCTGTCTCTCTCTGTCTTTCTGGCAAGCACATGCGCCCTATAGCAAAAACCGCTCACAAAATTATATGTGTGTGTGTGTGTGTGTGTGTGTGTGTGTGTGTGTGTGTAGTATGAAAATTAGAGGATATTCCAGGAGGTCCAACATCTTAGGTTGAATTAATAGGTTCATAGAAAGCTGAGCAAATACATAAAATAACTAATCATGGGAGAAGGAAAAATAATCATAGTGGGTTACATGACTTACTGTGAATCATATTCACAACAACATACACAGCCATGGTGATAATGCACCTGTAAACATTGACTGATGACTCACGCCAAACTATAATCACGTGAGCAGGTCGAGGATAGGCAAGGTGACTATGTATGCCAGACAACAAAAGGGGACAAAACCTCATGGTTCAGAGTGAGACATCAACAGATAATATAAAAAAAGTAGCCCTATAAGAGACTTCGAAAGGTCACACACACAAAATGGAATTAAAATACAAGTTTATTTTGCTTCAAAAGAATTTTTAAATCCATGCATCATTTTTTTCAGGATGTGCATGTTCCATGAACTTTTTGAAAACATTTCTACTTATGTTATTTAAAGATGCAAATGGAAATATTAAAGAATTGGTTGAAAGAGTTGAAAAAACTTGCATCCAGGGATAGGGAAAAAGGGAGGTTGGAGAACAGCAAAAACAAGCTTTTCTTAAGTCTATGATTTACTTTTTATATTAGCATAAAGTACCAATTAGAAAATTCACCAATCTTTGAAGTAGAGCCAATAGAACTGTAGATTCTTTTTAATGTTTCTTTTTCTTTCATGAGCTAGAGAGACAAAGAGAGGGACAAAACACACCCCTATCAGGGTCTTGACACCGCTACCCAGCCCCGGCTTCCTGCCAGCACCAGATCCCAGGTAGCAGGTGTCTGGCATACTCAGGAGGTGTCTGGACTTGAATCAGTAAACTTCCCATGTGGGAGTGCTGCCCGAGCATCAGGTTTGAGCACTACAACACCATCTGGCCCTCCTTCTTTAACCAAGAATGGACTTGAGTGAGCTAGTGCACCACAATCGCTTTACGGGAGGAGCTAAGACCCAAGGAGGTGTTGAGGTTCGTGGGAGGTAGGTTATCATCTTCACCCTATTTTACAGATGACAACACTGTAAAATGTTCTTCAGGATTTTAGCATATTAATCTTAGGTGATAATTAGTCATGTATCTGAGTTTTTTTGGCCATGTTAAGACCTTCAGTTTAACCCCACAGAACAAGTCCATTGACTCATCTGCTACTCACTGATCAATACTGCAGGTGTCCCGACATGCAGGACAGTCGAACAGGTCTCCTGAGGGAAGGAGTGAGAGATGGGATGAATGGCGCAATGTCACAACTCTTCAGGGTCCTCTGGAGATTGTGGACCAGGGATCGTGGTTATATACATGTTGGTGGGTGGTGATTGGTTAAATGAAGGATTGTAAAAGGTGGGTTATGATTGGTTGCTTTTGTGGACCAATCATGAGGTGTCGAATATGCAAATATGAGGGATTCTAGTGCCCAATCAGAGTATGGTTTTGAAGGTGAGGTTTTGAAGGGGAGCCAATCATGGCCTTTGGCATTGTGTAATTGTTTGCTGAGAAACGGAAACCTAAAGGCGATATTCGCTGGTGTGCAGCCTCCCACTCTGCTACTCACTGATCAATACTGCAGGAAGGTGTCTCGATAGTGCCATATATTTAGATTACCAGGGAAAACAAAATCAAGCAAGTTTCCAGAAAATTTTAGTAACAAGAAAAAAATTCATACTATTCAACTCTTCAAGTCGCTAAAATTTTTGCAGCAGAATTTCTCATTGAAGGACCACCCAGTTGTACTCTGACATCTACTTTGAATGTGTGAGTACAGATACAAATAAAATATTTTATTGCAATGTATTGCAGAAGGGCAAAGTGGCCTTTTGAGACTGGAAGTCATAGACCATTGTCATAAAATAACTTGTGTGTGGAACCTTTTTTGAATAATAATTGCTTTGAGACAAGTCTTTCTTTTTTCCTTGAGAAAACAGGGAATTTCTTGTCAGTAAGTAATCTCGTTAGAGATTTGAATGAAAGAAATTGTGTGAATTTGTTTTCATTGTATCAAAATGGTTACAAGATCCTCCATGGCTCAGAACAAATCCCCCAAAAGATAGTTTATTGAGTCACTGTTTTTGAAGAAAATTCATAAACTAGCCATTCTCCTCCCCCAAATCAAACCTAGATAATAGAAAACTCTGCTTTTTCGAATAATATATGAAAAAAAAAAAGAAGAAGAAGAAAAGCTGGTGGTGAGAGAATGTCTGATTTACCTTTTAGAAATCACTTTATTTTGTTCCCAAGGGCGGACTATGGAACGTTCTGAGAACATGGTTACGAAACGATTGTGTGATCTGCTCTCAAGAGGGAGGGACTGTTTTGACTCTCTTGTTACTATGCGAGGGATGGAATTTTGCAACCAGAAGGTTCCACAACAGTTGGGAATGACAGTTGCATGAGTAGCGAGCAGAAGACCAATGTGTGTGTCCTGTTACTCCTGCTCTGAGCACCACATGCCGCAACCGTGCCAAGATTTTCTGCTTGCATCAATATTTTTTATAATTACCAGGCCTCATGTGCGTAATCCATTAATAGCAAAAACATCTTACAAATAATATCTACACGGACTTTAGGTTAGACAGCCATCTGGCTAGCTGATATGCTCTGCAACAGACATACACATATTCACTTTATAGAGCCTTATTTAGATGCCTGATTAAAACCTTTGTTCTATTTCTGATCATGTACTATCAATCAAGCTCCGCCTCCTCTTGCAGAAATGGGAAAAGCCTTCAAAACACACAAAAGTGTACCAGGAGTGATCAGTGCCCCGTTTCCAGTGATTTACTTTTGCCTTCCACTTTGGCTTTTCTCTCTTCCTTGGGAATTAATATTACTTTCATTCTCCTTAGCTTCTGTAAGTCCACTCTTTCTATTGGTCTTTCTATTCTTTTTTTTAAAGAAGAATTTATTCACTTAATTTCATTTGCTATCATTATTTTTAATTTGACCAGAGAGAGAGAGAGAGAAATGGAAAGTGAGAAAGCAAGCCTCCAGGTCCGGGATTCAAACCACTGTTGGCCACGTGGGTGTCTAGTGCCCTTAATCACCACACCACCTGCCTACCTCTCTATTGCTCTTTCTCTGATTTTTCCCAAGTTGGACTTCGATTCTAGGTTCTTGGGTTCTTTTAGGGATACCCACTATAGGCAATTTAGCACAATCGGAACCACTATGTAAAGAAGATGCCAATAAATTCAAAATCATACATTGAATCATGGGATTTTACAAACAGATGAAACAATACAAGTTATTTTACCAGAAGTAACTACTCACTGATCAATACTGCAGGTGTCCCGACATGCAGGACAGTCGAACAGGTCTCCTGAGGGAAGGAGTGAGAGATGGGATGAATGGCGCAATGTCACAACTCTTCAGGGTCCTCTGGAGATTGTGGACCAGGGATCGTGGTTATATACATGTTGGTGGGTGGTGATTGGTTAAATGAAGGATTGTAAAAGGTGGGTTATGATTGGTTGCTTTTGTGGACCAATCATGAGGTGTCGAATATGCAAATATGAGGGATTCTAGTGCCCAATCAGAGTATGGTTTTGAAGGTGAGGTTTTGAAGGGGAGCCAATCATGGCCTTTGGCATTGTGTAATTGTTTGCTGAGAAACGGAAACCTAAAGGCGATATTCGCTGGTGTGCAGCCTCCCACTCTGCTACTCACTGATCAATACTGCAGGAAGGTGTCTCGATAGTGCCATATATTTAGATTACCAGGGAAAACAAAATCAAGCAAGTTTCCAGAAAATTTTAGTAACAAGAAAAAAATTCATACTATTCAACTCTTCAAGTCGCTAAAATTTTTGCAGCAGAATTTCTCATTGAAGGACCACCCAGTTGTACTCTGACATCTACTTTGAATGTGTGAGTACAGATACAAATAAAATATTTTATTGCAATGTATTGCAGAAGGGCAAAGTGGCCTTTTGAGACTGGAAGTCATAGACCATTGTCATAAAATAACTTGTGTGTGGAACCTTTTTTGAATAATAATTGCTTTGAGACAAGTCTTTCTTTTTTCCTTGAGAAAACAGGGAATTTCTTGTCAGTAAGTAATCTCGTTAGAGATTTGAATGAAAGAAATTGTGTGAATTTGTTTTCATTGTATCAAAATGGTTACAAGATCCTCCATGGCTCAGAACAAATCCCCCAAAAGATAGTTTATTGAGTCACTGTTTTTGAAGAAAATTCATAAACTAGCCATTCTCCTCCCCCAAATCAAACCTAGATAATAGAAAACTCTGCTTTTTCGAATAATATATGAAAAAAAAAAAGAAGAAGAAGAAAAGCTGGTGGTGAGAGAATGTCTGATTTACCTTTTAGAAATCACTTTATTTTGTTCCCAAGGGCGGACTATGGAACGTTCTGAGAACATGGTTACGAAACGATTGTGTGATCTGCTCTCAAGAGGGAGGGACTGTTTTGACTCTCTTGTTACTATGCGAGGGATGGAATTTTGCAACCAGAAGGTTCCACAACAGTTGGGAATGACAGTTGCATGAGTAGCGAGCAGAAGACCAATGTGTGTGTCCTGTTACTCCTGCTCTGAGCACCACATGCCGCAACCGTGCCAAGATTTTCTGCTTGCATCAATATTTTTTATAATTACCAGGCCTCATGTGCGTAATCCATTAATAGCAAAAACATCTTACAAATAATATCTACACGGACTTTAGGTTAGACAGCCATCTGGCTAGCTGATATGCTCTGCAACAGACATACACATATTCACTTTATAGAGCCTTATTTAGATGCCTGATTAAAACCTTTGTTCTATTTCTGATCATGTACTATCAATCAAGCTCCGCCTCCTCTTGCAGAAATGGGAAAAGCCTTCAAAACACACAAAAGTGTACCAGGAGTGATCAGTGCCCCGTTTCCAGTGATTTACTTTTGCCTTCCACTTTGGCTTTTCTCTCTTCCTTGGGAATTAATATTACTTTCATTCTCCTTAGCTTCTGTAAGTCCACTCTTTCTATTGGTCTTTCTATTCTTTTTTTTAAAGAAGAATTTATTCACTTAATTTCATTTGCTATCATTATTTTTAATTTGACCAGAGAGAGAGAGAGAGAAATGGAAAGTGAGAAAGCAAGCCTCCAGGTCCGGGATTCAAACCACTGTTGGCCACGTGGGTGTCTAGTGCCCTTAATCACCACACCACCTGCCTACCTCTCTATTGCTCTTTCTCTGATTTTTCCCAAGTTGGACTTCGATTCTAGGTTCTTGGGTTCTTTTAGGGATACCCACTATAGGCAATTTAGCACAATCGGAACCACTATGTAAAGAAGATGCCAATAAATTCAAAATCATACATTGAATCATGGGATTTTACAAACAGATGAAACAATACAAGTTATTTTACCAGAAGTAATTCAGTTCCAAAACCTGATTCAAAGAGAGAGCATTAGGAGAACATTTCTTAGAGTTCAATGTCAATTTTTAGAGTGGGAAGCTGGGGAGTTTGAATCTAGCAGGGTTTAGGGAAACAGGTTAGTGTAAGAGGCTGACGAGGGGAGTTAAGCTGTGTTTGCAAAACCAGGCACTTGCACAGCTGGTGGGGGTGGAGATGTGAGGTTTGCAGTTTAAGAACAGGAAGGAAAGTTCACTTAAAATCAATGACTTAGTTTAGTTTTGTGTTTTACGTTTGTTCCTTTTTAGTTTTGCCAAAACATGTGTGCTCGTCAGAAACAGAAAAAGAAGGAAAATGGGGCCCCCAGTGGAGTATAGTCATGCACCAATCCCTTCTCCTTTTCTCCATCCGTCAGGATTGTGGGCATAGACACACATGTGCCTGGCATGTTTTTCAAACTAGTGGGTATAGGACTTGAACTACATGGCTGGCCATGGGAGATCTGACTCCCTTAAACACTGTACCATGTGACTGGCCCATCAATGACTTGGAAAGGAAACTTACAATGCTTTAGCATTGTGTCATGTCCTGTCTTGTAGCCTGGTACACACACCTAGTGTACCCACCTGCTGGTATTCACATCTCATAGGGGTGTAGCCCGCATTAAAATAGGAATATGCCAAGAAGGGTATCTTCACTTTATAGATGTGAACATAGGTATAGAGTGTGTGTGTGTGTGTGTGTGTGTGTGTGTGCATACACATATTTTTCATATATATATA